TAACTGATTAAGAACCAATGTGCTTTTTTGTGCTCGTACCTACGAACGTTCATGTTTTTACAATAATCGAGAGCGTGGGTGCGTTAATGGTCATCCACACGTTTTAGTAACTGCAGATATTAGTATGTGATGTATAGTAATTAGCTTAAATTTCCTTAGTAAAATAGAATCCGGAAAAATGCAGGACTTGATACCAAGTAAGGCATCAAATAACGATCGTAAGGCCTCTTTTCACACAGGGTGGCAATTACCGCCACCATCCGACGGCATTTACCGCCTCACCTCAGCGGACATACAAAGTATGCACTGCTGTTCACACACGACGGATATTAACGAAGCGTAGAAGTGGACGCCTGATGCCCGCGTGTGTCCTGCTAAAACTGCGGCGGTAGATTTGCCGCAACAGGTTTGCTTGCTCTGGTATTCAATGTAATCTTGCGCAGTGGGCGGTTTTTGACGCCGCATCCTAGTGTGGTACAGGCAGTGGGGCCTTATTTAGGGTGCATAATAAACAGCACTGCAAGACTGATAGATTATAGACTGATATTGTTACATAATAACATGAAGTTAAAGATATATATTGATAAATATATATTTCCATAAAGTGATAAAGATATCTTTCCACTATTTCAGCATAAAGATATATTCCTACAAATATATATTGTTATATAAACATAGCACTGATTCGGACTGGTGCATAAAACAGCACTGCAAGACTGATAGATTCTAGCGTTAATTAAAAACAGCCTCGTGTGAATGATCACGCGGTAAATATCGCCGCGGCATTTTTGATGCTCGCGGTATTTGTCGCCCTGTGTGGAAGGGGCTTAACGGGTGAGCTTTCATTGGGCGGTTGCTGGATCGGTGAACTGATCGAGATAGAAGATGACAGTGAGCGATGTACAGCATAAATTATAGGACATATCAAGAGGTATTCCTAGTACCAATCATCTTGATTTGAATGGTAGTGCATGAATCTAAATTCTGGCCATTAATCCAAAGTAAAAAATTTAATCATTTATACACCGCAATCTTTGCACGCTATACCACGATGAGCCTTAATATTGGCCATTAATATTGGCATCGGCTTGAATTAACATTGAAAGTTTTGAGCCCACGAATGGGCTTACACAAATTGCCGTAGCCGACGGTATTTCACGTCGTCATGGCGGGGTATTGGTTAAAGTTTTCAACTAGCAATAATCGCACCTCGGACGAATCCTCATTGGTTACGATACTGCCTCTGCGCAAAGCTGACGACTCTACGCGAGTCCGAGACCGAGGCTGCACCACTGAAAACAGCGAAGTTTAGCGTTTTTCAAGGGTGATCGAGCTCAAAATGTCTTGATTCTCAGCAGTCGTGTCATTTTTTGGCTGATTATTTCCGGCTGCTCCCATTAATTGGAAAGTATTCGTGAAATTCACTATTTATCATTCAACTACAGAACTGTGATCTACTCGCTCAATATGGGAAATACTTAATTTTTAATAATAACATGGTGTCTCTTATAGTATACTGTCTCCTTCTGGCTTTATAAATGTACATTTATGAGTACTTTTACGCTTTTTCGAGAAAGGGTTGGACTGATAATCATTCATCGGGCTATCAAATAAGCCGTATTTTTGAATAGTCAGTAGTATAGGACGCGGATGAATTTATAAACCAACACTTCTGCCACGCAACGTCTGAAATGGTCACTACGCGAAAAATCCCGACATGCTAAGTTACATGAATTATAGTTAAGCCGCACGGTAGTATAAAATATAAAACAAAAATCTTATTTGCAGTGCCCATGAAGAGTTTTAGGAGAATTTTTAAAATGTATTTCCTACGTCTCAGCTGCACAATTGTTTAGAATGAGTTTTCAGTTGGTATTCCGAGACTTGCAGTACTCGAATGCTCGCTCGAAATTTTATGCCGCTCTCAATTTTATACGAGTTAATTGTATATAATCTTAATTAATTGATTCAAGCTTGCTTGAAAGTAGTCGTGGACTGATTTTATTTGTCTGAGATAGCACGTCATGAAATGACAGTTGTTCTTAATTTCTTGCTTGGTTACCCCTCGAAAAACGAAAATCTTTGCTGTGTGCAGTAGTCCTGCCTCGGTCTCGGACGCGCGTAGAGTCGTCAGCTTTGCGCAGAGGCAGTATCGTAACCAATGAGGATTCGTCCGAGGTGCGATTATTGCTAGTTGAAAACTTTAACCAATACCCCGCCATGACGACGTGAAATACCGTCGGCTACGGCAATTTGTGTAAGCCCATTCGTGGGCTCAAAATTTATTTGAACTGGATTTAAATTTAAGCTACAAAATATATTTGGAGCCTACGAGGACTGTAAAATATTAAGACGGCTCTCCTAGTTCTGATAAGGGTTAAGTCATTTAAAATCAAATCCTGCTGCTAAATATTTTTCGTATTAGAGTATTCACAAAGTTCTATCTGATTCGATGGTATTGTAACCTCATCATGTCTGTTTTGACTCGGAATATCATATTTGTTTGATTCCCGAATTTTTGAACGGTTAATGTATGGCTGTTTTTAAGCCAGAATTACAATCAGACTTGAATGACATCCGGACATTTTATCGAACATATGAAGTGATGCGAAATATTACCTGCATCACGTAAGTGTAAATATGTCGGAAAAATATTGATTATTCCATGAATATTTGACTTAGCATTCTTCTTGTCTGCAGTCACCTGACATATGAATGAATTTCCTCAACGTTATCTGTTCAACTTTGTATGGTCAAACTCCTTATGTAGGCATTCAAAAAAATTAATGCGCGAAATTATATATATCTTTGTTTTGTGATTGCATTCCATGCAGCGTTCTATGATAGTTATACCATATGTACACTAACGAAAAGAGCGCTACACGCCTGCTATCGCATGCCTTCATGAAGTTTATGTGCGATTATATAAGTATAAATGGCAAATTTACGGTACATACTGTCATAGTTTTCCGACGTTGGTGTAGGAAAAATAATTCCTAAAAAATGTCTAATGCCGTAACTGTTGAACGCAGCATATTTTGCGACATTGAGCCACTAATCTTTGAGCTAGAGATGAATTATTCGGAGGTAAAGCTGACGACCATAAAGCAAAAATGTGCAGAATTGGGTTTTTGTTGTTCTTTTGAACCGAAACTTGAATTGCATTCTTAGAACTATTCTTCTAATATCCTCTTATGCAGAACAACAAAATGCGCTAAAAGCTCTTTAGGCTTCTTGTTCAATTCCAGTTCTTAACCATCGGAATTAATGTATTCTTGATTTATTCTAATGACAGCGCTATTACACAAGGTAATGGAACGAATATCGACAGCAGAGAGTTCATACTTCACATCCGACGAGGATAAAACAAGTACATCAGGCGTACCGATTGTACATGTACGTAACCCGACCGGCACAGCTGGCAGCAAAACACAATTGGTCACACGGCACGTATACTGGCAACACAGAGAGCACGATCTGAAGGACTTAGTCTGAAGACGATATAACAGATACTAATGCGACGTGTTGCTATCCTGTACATTGGTTTCCGAAGGCACGTTAAGGTTCGAACGAGAGTTGTGAACATCAACTCTACACACCGATAAGTTTCTGTACACCTTGTTGGTGATGCAGTGAGGCTCAAACTGGGCTAGATTGCCTTCAAACCAGTAAGAAAGCTCACTTCAGAATACTGCTCGAAAGTGTACTTGCACTTGCGTGTGTAATAATAACTCGCGGAATAGTTTTATCTATTGTGAATAACATGTCTCGAGTGACGGGATGTTTCAAATCTTGCCAGTAAACCTTTCGCTTAGTTACACCTGAAAAAACGCAGAACTTGGACGTGTTCAGTGGTGCCGCCTCGGTCTCGGACGCGCGTAGAGTCGTCAGCTTTGCGCAGAGGCAGTATCGTAACCAATGAGGATTCGTCCGAGGTGCGATTATTGCTAGTTGAAAACTTTAACCAATACCCCGCCATGACGACGTGAAATACCGTCGGCTACGGCAATTTGTGTAAGCCCATTCGTGGGCTCAAAATTGCAACATTAATCGATCATTGAGTTAGCCAGTCAACTTCATTATACTGGAATCATCTTGATGAAGTTGATCTTCATCAGCTGTTCTGCCGGTTCGAAACTTCAAAATCAACCAGCAATTCAGATCACTTTATTATTACTTTAGTTTCCTGATTCATTGCTCCCGCGGCTGTTCTTCCAATATATCCGAAACCATGTGGTCTAAGCCGGTCCATGAGATTCATCACCAGCAGCTGCACATTACTTTTGGCGAAGTGAAGATACTTTTGCCCGATGATACTCAGTGTCAGCGTGTACACGACAAATTTCCATTTTAATACCCTTTAGGATTGGTTACGTGACGCCTTCCGATGTAAAAATTCATTGTCATTGCAAAAACCTTGAGTTTTCCCTTCTTGTATTGTGACTGTCAGCAAGGAAGTATGCAGCCGGAGTTCAATCGGATTGCAATAATTATTTAAAAAAAGTTTATGAATTGTAAGCATAGCTAGACAATAAAACCAGTTGAGTGCACGAATTTCTTCGACTCCATTCTGCAGTAGTTTAGACGCTTAAATTCTAACTGATGGTGCTAAGGAATCTCTGTCACTAGTTTGGTTATTTTGATAGAAAAAATACCAAGTATTAGATAATTCAATTTTCTCTACCGATGAAATCACTGTTGCCGGATGCGGTGACGGGCTTCGATGAAACTACAGACTGGCTCGCGCAGTAGAGTTTAGACTGTGCATAGATTCAGCTAATAAACATTCTGAAGTAAGGCTTTCGTGTTAGGATACAAATTACATTGGAATTGGGTCGTGCAGTCTAATGGGTTCCAAGATGACTAATATTTACAAAATGGGGCCAATTCAGTTAGATCTTTGCACAAGAATATGCTGAGTATTTCTAATTTAACTCGAAATGGTTTGCAGTATAACCAAACGGCTACCCTTTTGTAGACGTTTATCTTTTCTTTTCAAGCCCACGAATGGGCTTTCACAAATTGCCGTAGCCGACGGTATTTCACGTCGTCATGGCGGGGTATTGGTTAAAGTTTTCAACTAGCAATAATCGCACCTCGGACGAATCCTCATTGGTTACGATACTGCCTCTGCGCAAAGCTGACGACTCAGACCGGCCGGGCCCCCAAGCCGCCCCACCTGAGCACATGCGAATTTGCTTCAAGACGCTAACTACGATGTTTTATTCCAAACAGAGTAGTGTATTTATTGCGGGGCATATCATTGTTCTCTTCCTACGTACTTCTTTGAAATTATTATTTTTTGTTAAAGTTACTTTGATTGCAATTTTTACGCGACTATTATTATGTGCCATGCACTAATCGACCAATAATGAGTTATCAATTGAATTAAGTTTACACATGAAGAGCAAAATTTACAAACTACTAGTCGTTGAAGTGTTAATGAATTAATTTGATGATTTGCTTGTTATTATTATGTGAACCTGAATCGATATAGCGTTAACTTTATTCTATCTTTAAGTAACACGATAATTCGGCAGCTTTACTTCTAATTTCCATGATCATCCCTATGACGTAATAACTCTTGCATCACCCAACTCTCGCGCACACGTGTCGCTGCTAGTCATGAATAACACACGTGCTATGTTGGATCATGAGAGTGCATTTTTGTGCACGGTTTTATATAGATTATTATTTTATAAATAGAATATATTTTAAATGACGGGTGGATCTTTTGCAATACTTGTTCAATATTAGCATAGTAATATAAATGCGTTGAAGAATAGACCGGGTTGACACTTGACCTGACACCGTTTCATGATTACTTGCAATAATTTTATGAAGTTACTTTACTAATGACCGCTATAGTGGTTTGTAGCGAATTTTTACGATTTTCTGTGTCTGTGAAAAGTTTTTTGTTTGATGCATGTAGCTTCTGGAGTGGAGTTAGTAGCTGATATGAAGCAGCATCCTGATATACGAGAGTTGTCCTTCCAACGCTAGAGAAGACGTGTCTGATCGGCGCCATGTTGGGAGGGCGGACGGAGGCGCGGAGGGTGTAAGAACTAAGAAATCTGGTGCATCAGTGTCGATTGTGCGAGTGCTGAGGGAGGTTGTTGAGCCTCCAGAGCTGACGGTATCGTCATTATCTTTGTTTATGCTCGCTTATTTTCATAAGTTCTTCTAAAAGCGAGCTTACTTCTTGTTTTCATAGTCCATTTGAATTTGTTGAGTCCGAAAAAGTGCTCTGTGTGGACTTTAAATAGTTCGGTCATTCAAAGTAGAACCGCAGTTATGTGGGTCTATTTATTGTGAGGACTTCAAATGACGTGTGCCGGTGTTCCAGTGTTCATGTTAGCATGCGACTTTCCGGCTGTGGTGGTAGCGAGTGATGACAGTGTGCTGCGGATGATGATTTTGAACCGATGATGGTTTACGTCAGTGTAGTGAGCTCGCCGGCCGTCGTCTCACCTCACAATCTTCGCTGCCACGACTTCGTGTCGCATGCTTGCCTTCAGGCAGAACTGATTTCGTAGTGAGAACGTTGATTACGAGCTGATTTCGTTGTAGCAACGCTTAATTACGAGCTGATTTCGTTGTAGCAACGCTAATTACGAGCTGATTTCGTTGTAACAACGCTTAATTACGAGCTGATTTCGTTGTAGCAACGTTAATTACGAGCTGATTTCGATGTAACAACGTTAATTACGAGCTGATTTCGTTGTAACAACGCTAATTACGAGCTGCTTTCGTTGTAACAACGCTAATTACGAGCTGATTTCGTTGTAACAACGCTAATTACGAGCTGATTTCGTTGTAACAACGTTAATTACGAGCTGATTTCGTTGTAACAACGCTAATTACGAGCTGATTTCGTTGTAACAACGTTAATTACGAGCTGATATTTCAGGATCTTCTGGTGTGCCGATGCCTTATTCTTACTCGGGAGGGCTGATCTGCCGCGACTGTATCATTATTATTTATTATAAATAAATCTAGGCCAGGAGCAGACCGTGCGTTGCGGCGCTGTAGTCTCTCCAGAGAACATCTGTTAGGCCGTATTTATTTGTATTGTCATTTGAACAGATGAAGAGAATGGCAGTTATTCTTAAATTATAATCTATGTCCAAATACACAAACACACTCACAGTATATTAATGAAATGATTGACGATCATATTTATTACGCGCTACATCGCTGCTTCAACTTCTCTAGTGAGCGTATTCATGGTGGTAATAAGAGTTTGGTTAGCATTGTCCATACGGTTACGTTACAAAATCTGGGATTATCCCCACATTTTATTGCATGTTTTTTACTGAAGCAATGAGAAATTCCGCTACCTGCAATTCCTGAAAATATATTCCATGACCGTATTTCCAAGGGCCAAATACTAATCAGCCTAGGCGCCACGTGTGCGCGGTATATCCTATCTATTACTGTACTCTACCGTACCGCCGCTAGCTGCATCATAATGCACACTGCGTTCTTATCGCTAGTTCTATGTGACGATCAGTCGGAAAAATCAGTTAATTTGTCCAAATAACGATGCACAATTTGTTCGTGTGCGGGTCACCCTGAGTCTGTTTTACCCAGCAAACGTGCAGAAAGTGCGTCAGTGTGTGGACAGTATGACCTAATCATTTGTCTGAGTGTGGGTATTGTTTCATAGATACTAAGATTTTTGTTTCTATCCTTCGAGTAGAGACTGAAAATGGTCACGCATATGATGCGGTGCTTCGTCTTGTTAATCTTTGACGTTTATTTGATTGCAACATTTTCTTTTTACTCTGAGATATTCCACTGCATATCCGATCTTAGTAGTTGAGTATTTCGGTTTGCTATTGTGATGTGGAGCAAGCAGCATTAAAATTACTCCGCCAATGTCTGCCCACCAATAGGAAATTTACCTCAAGCGTTTTCATTCCGAAAAAAATTTCCATTTAATTAGCCAATTAACTGCTAAAAAATTGTACGGGTTGGGAGTAGCGTACTCCCTTGTACACTAATAGTTTTCAGATCTGTCCGAATGTGTTGACTCATTCATCATTTCTTGCCACGTGTAGTTACTGTACTACGATTGCAGCGTCACTGTCTCGTGCACGTGCCATCGTCTTGATCGCATGTGAATGATGAGGTCCTGCCTATAGCATGCCAGGTGCACGTCCAGCTGTTCTCGTCGCTCGTGACGTGCGCTACACTCTCAGCTGTGCTGCTATTTCTTCACGCAAATATCGACCTCATTACGGCGAGTGTATTAGTTTAGTGAATAGTGTAGTTAGTTTAGTTTCTTTTACAGTATTATGTATCTTGCGGTTAACCTAAGATTCGGATACTGGTATTCTTAAAATCAATAACTTCATCAGCATTAAAATGCTACCGCGAAATCATCATGAGAATGAGCAATCGCTAGAAATGAGAAAAGACAATTGATGTACAAAGATGTTTGAATCAAAGGCATTGTATCACGCACATATTTTTCTATTGGCTGTTGGCTTACTCCTACGGTTTTGAGATACTGAGGACTGGAATACGTTTGTGGCTCACCGTCCTCGATGATATATAACTATGTTTTAGAAATGATAATTATAAAGTGGTGAAAAATATGGTGACTCGAACTGATGGTAACTCGAGTTACTAGGCCTTTATGTACAAATAACATTGGCTACGACTAAGGTATCCATAAACAAAACTTTAAATCGAATATTTTAAAATAATTACATATTAGAATTTTTCATCATAAAACTCTTATAGAATTTCTAATATTCAATGATATGCTAAGGAATTCAACTTCTAATATCCTATGCTTATACAGAATTTAAATGCTTAATTAAAGGTTCGTTGCTTGTCTGACCTTCCTAGCGATGGGGCGATCGTGATGTATGTACGTTACAAGCCTGCCTTGCGTATGGACCAATATTAGTTATATTTATAGTACCCGCTCAATATTCCTTAAGGCCACAGCTTGAAAAAAATTACCAATTGATGGTATTTATAGTTGCTCTTAATATTCTAACTAGTACCTGCTCAAAATTCTAATCTAATACTACGTAGAACGTGACCGGAATTAGTACAAAAAAGAATGACCTAGAGATTGGATTTAATATTGATAATATTTTCCTCTAATGCAGGAATTTAGAAATCCGTGAGGCACGCTGCGGCTGTTGGACATCAAAATTTAAATAAAACTTTTAAGATTATGGGAGGAACTGTTGAATGAAAAGTGATGGAGATAAGGATTGTAAATCATGAAGGAAATTTTTTAATGATTTTAATGTTGTAATTTGTGAGCCTTGCCTCCCAACGACCGACAAAACGAACTATGATTCATTGTGCCAGAAATCAGCAATTTTTTTATGTACGTACGCTTATTCTACTTCAATATTTATACCCATTGGAATGTAGGAAAAAATTCGTTCCATGTTACCTCTTAATTGCAGCCCGGCCATTCGTCCAATTATAAATGAAGAAAGTTATTGCAATGTTCCCTATTATTACTATACTTACCTATTAACGCTTACCAAGACGGTAGACCATGCATAACCAAGAAAGTAAAAAGAAACATTTGCAGCGCTTTCTCTCAAACCAATTTTTACTAAAATCGTGTTTGCTGACACTTTTTAAATGTATTTATTTACTAACCAGCAACGAAGAAGAGTGACATTAATTTTTTTCCTAATATGAAGTTTAACCTTGCTTCAAACGATCTTTGTTTTTTTTTTAGGAATATCGAATGCGTTGACTCTGCCAAGTCATGGTTAATAGCGAGATCGAAGACACGTGCAACGTTTCATCTCCAACAACACCATAAATGTTGCTGTCTTTGGACCCACGAGTTTAATGTACGACATGAAAGTTCATGTAGGTAAACCATTGGCGACTCTCAAAGTATTCGTAATCTGAGCTACTACTTCTCATATTTTTACAGCCAACAATACCTGTGTTGCAGTGGGTCGAACCAACTTCATAACGCATTTATTTTTGGTTATTTTATCCAATGTTGATAGGCAGAGAACTTAATTAAGTGGCCGTCCGTGGACGTGTGCCACATATTAACGTCTCCATTGACTGGTCGATTCGCGGCTGGAGTAAAAAGCGTCGAGAGTCGCGCGTGAGTGTCCATGCTGAAAATCTACGCGGTATTC